ATAGATGGGCGGAACAACAAATATAATGCTAATTGTATTTTCAATAGCCACACCAGTGTCTCCCAACATTTTTTAAAACATGCAAAACATGATAACATTTGTGAGTCAACCAGGGTGAACGGACAACACACCAAGACCTCAAAACTGCTCTCTAAGCTGACAGGAATCAAGATCTTGGCACAGCAGTAACTTATTTGTGGCAAAACCCACAGCTTATTAGCTGTTAAACTCTGTACCATGCTACTGTGGTTGTATGTCAGAGACTCGTGGAAAATATGCCTGCATAGGTAAGGTAAACTCAAATTGTACAAGCTCATATGAAAAGAAGGTGAAGCAGTTTGGGTTTATATGATTGGTGATAGAGTTCTTGAAGAGTGGCAGTATATTAAGAGGATCTAAATAACTGCATATCTTAAGAATGATTTCCTAATGGAAGGAACACAGTCTTAAAGATACTTTGTGTCTCTGTTGACAATTCAAAGCCACTAAGACATAGTTGTGGGGAAGAAAAGGAAGAAGATATGAAAGACACTGAGGTGTCTGATTTTCTTTGCGTATAGCAAGAACCAAGAAAATGTGTGTGAATGAAATGACTATTGAGTGAAAGAATTTAACAATTCCAGAGTTGCATAATACTATGGCCCTCACAAAGATTTTTTTTTTTAAGTGATGAGTTTTAAAAAAAACTTATGAAGAAAAAAATATGATTCTACCAGTGTCAGGAAACCTTGGCAAAAGATGGGGACAGGGAATACTAAAGACCATTTGAAGATATGTAACACCAAAAAAAAAACCCTACTTTTCTTAAAACTGAAACATTAAGGCAAGAGATGTGAAGCATACACACACACACACACACACATACACACACACCAATCTAAAATTTAATTTGCTGCATAGCATTATGTGGTCTGCTATTCACAGATAGCTAGAAATTATGTAAAAGTAAGAGTTTATTCAGTCATAAATGGTGAAAGTCTCAACATATGCTAATTAGATTGCAAGCAGACTGGTAAAATACTAAAATGCCAGTAAAATCTGTGAATTCAGCTTGTAACTGTCACTAGGTGACAGATACCAATGTGGATCACCAATAATTTTATAGAATCATTCAATTCCCAAGCCCCAACTTCCCATCAGGTAAAAATGTACCAAAATTATGAATATTTCGCAATGCAATTTTATTACATTATTGAAATCAGCTTTTCTACACAATTATTCTGTTGGAAAAGCGTGTTTATGTTTTCATTACTGTGTTTCCACTTATAATTCAGTGATTGTGATTTTTGTGAAATTTATCAATTTAGGAGTTATTTAATTCTCTCTTTAATGGCACTGTCACGTTATTTTTATTTCTAGTAGATATTTGAAGTTGATATTTAGCTTTTAAATTCATTTAGAACAATCTCAACATGGTTTGAAAAGACTCCTGGGGTTCAACTTGAGCCAGATAATTTGGAAAAATTTCAAAATGCTAAAAATATGTAAAAATAAATCATGTGAAATGGGAATGAAAAATGAACCAAGTTTTTTATTTTCCCTATGGGAAATAACCTTAATTTTATGAGAAAATGATATTGTTAGTGGTGCTTCAGGTGGTAGTTTTAGCAGAAATTTTTAAAAACAACTTTATGAGACATAAGAAGCTGGATGATAGTAAACTGGTCAGGTCAGTTTGAACTCAGTAATCAGCGAGGTCTTTGTTTAAAGCAGTTTATGAATAAATTACTTTTTCAAAGTCAATGAAAAAATCAGAACTGCAAAATATTTTTCGTACCTATAGAGCATTTGACACAATCTTCTTTTAGTGATGAACTTATCTGATAGCATTAACTGCAGTTTTGTTTTTTTTTTTTTTTTTCAAATAAGAAATTTTGTTCATGGAAGCAACAGGAATTAATGCCAGGTCAAGCAGGGTTTTCGTTTTTATTGTGTGTTTCTCTATGTACCTTTACTTGAGTTTTATTGTTAATTGCAGAGGTTAGAGTGATTCATTTTGTAAAATTTGTTTTTATTATTGTCAATAATATTAATACATTGTCTTTAACTCAGAATCACATGTGTACTTTAAGGCAGAGATCTGTGAACATTTTCTGAAAGGGTCAGATTGTAAATATTGAATTGAATCATTTGCCAGATAGTAAATGTTTTAGTTTCTACAGCCAGATGGTCTCTGCAGCAACTACTCAACTCTGCTGTTACTCTGCAAACACAGCTCTAAACAATACATAAACCAGTGGGTAAGACTGTGTTCCCATAAGACTTTATTGATTAAAAATATTCAGTGGACAGAATTGGGTCATAGTTTACTGACCCCCGATTGAAGAGATTTTCTTTCTGTGGAGGCAGGAGATGGATGTCCAAGGAGTTAAGAAATATCAAACTCTTATTGTGTATAATTCATTAGATTTTAGTGGCTCCAAAAGTAAATATTATAACTTAAGTGTTGGAGACGCCTCTATTTACTGTTACTGACTGCTTTTGTAGTAAGTCATTTTGTTGACTGAATTCAATTCTATTCAATTTACATCTACTGAACATCTATGCTATGACACTAAACTGGCAACAAGCATGATACAAAGTGTAACAAGTCCAGTTTCTGAGGCCTAGGTTTGGAGGGAAGTTATTTCAGGTTTTTATATTAAAAATAGGCACTCAGATAATTTTTAATTTTCCCTTAACACATCGGCCTTTCATATGTAGTGCTACACCCAACGCGGCTGCTTCCTAAGTTAGTTCAGGGGGAAAGGGACATTAATATTGACTTTCCCTGTGTTCTCATCCCAGCACTTCCACCCCGGAACTTTAGATGGCAGTGTTCCTTTTTGCTTACTTTATTTTTACTTAAGAAATTCATTCAAAATCCTGGTGTACTCTGTCATACTGTTTTACTTTGAGGTCTCGGGGAGTGTTGGGTTTCAGTTCCTGTATCTTTCTGCACTATCTGAGTGAGCAGCCATTTCATTTCCCCTGGGGAGAGAGCTGATATATCTATATCTATACACACTTTATACACTGTAAAGGAAAGAACAGTAGCAGTGATTCATACATTCTTCCAGCCTGCCATTGTGACTTAGGTCAAAAAAGTAATTATGTAGATTTTTTTTTAAGTTTAAATGTTACATTGAACATTCATGTTGCATTTTGTAAAATCTTGTTTTAGATTTAGGGGCTACCTGTGCAGGTTTGTTACATGGGTGTATTGCATGCTGCTGAAGTTTGGTCTTCTAATGTTTCCTTCACCTAAGTAGTGAACATAGTACATCATAGGTAGTTTTTCAAACTTTACTTCCCACCACCCTCCCCCACTTTAACAATATCCAGTGTTTATTGTTTCCATCTTTGTGTCCCTGCGTATGCAATATTTAGCTCCTACTTATAAGTGAGCATATGCAGTATTTGTTTTTCTGCTTCTGTGTTAATTCACTTAGGATAAGGGCCTCCAGCTGTACCCATGTTTCTGCAAGAGACATGATTTCATTTTTTTTATGGCTGCATAGTATTCCATGGTGTAAATGTGCCACATTTTCTTTATGCAGTCCACCACTGATGGGCATCTGGATTGATTCTATGTCTTTGCTATGGTGAATAGTGCTACAGTAAACATATGTCTATGTTTAACAAATTTAAAGCAACATTTCTAATGAAATTTATTAACAATGTCTAACTGCTGGTTACATCATTCAGATTATTAAAGGGCTGAGATTTGAATTCACCAGCAAAAGTTATGGGAGACTTGTCTTATCCAAAGAGAAAAATAAATTACTTTTTAAAATCTGAATATGAGATAAAATGATTTTAGACTGCAAATCTGTGAAACTAGAATTCATAGTAGTTCAGAAACTGATTCAACTCAATTCATTGGTAGATGTATTTATTAGCATTTTTAAACAATAAGATTTGCTGTACTCAAATTTTGTGTGATCAGTGATTTTTGTGATTTTTTTAGACAATGATGATTATTGACAGTTTAGACCATTTGTTGTAACCAAATAGGTGTTTATCTTCCTAAGAACATATCTGTAATATTTTCAAGCTAAGACATCTTGTATTAACTTCGTTCCTTCATTATACCTTAAAATTTTTTGAGAACTTTTCCACACTGGTAAGATACCATATTTAATAAATTTTATGCCATGGTCTGATATTATTGAAGTAACACAATAAAGTTTACCAAACTATAATATTCCTTAGAATACTTAAAACTCGTAACTTTTATATATGAAAGCACATAGATAGTATCCTATTAAATAGATTAAATTGGGGAAATAGCACAATAGTGGTGCTATTAAAATTGACTTCCATGTATGAATGAAATGACAGTGCATTGTTGATGTGCTGGTGTGTAATGCACAACTTATAACATGATTTGAGTCCAGCAATGACCATAAAAGTAAAAGTCAATTAATACAGGTTGAGTATTCTTTTTCCAAAATAGTTGGAGCTGGAAGTGTCTCCAATTTCAGTTTTGGGGGGATTTTGGAATATTTGCATCTATGTAATGAGATATTTTGGGTAGGACTAGAAGTGTGTTGGATTGGGGATTTTTTTTTTTTTTTTTTTTTGGCAATATTTGCACATACATAATGAGATATCCTGGGGATGCAACCCAAGTCTAAACACAGAATTCATTTATGTTTCATATATACCTTGTACACATAGCCTGAAGGTAATTTTACTTTTCCCTTCGGAGTAGTGAATAAACTTTGGATTGTGCACCTATGTTTTGACTAAATGGAATTTTCTACTTACGGCATTGTGTTGGTGCTCAAAAAGTTTTGGATTTGGGAGCATTTCAGATTAAGGATTTTTAGGTTAGGAATGCTTAATCTGTATTGGTCATAGATTTGGTTCCAGCATTAAAGTTGGAGTGAAATGTCCAAGTGTTCTGAATCTTAGGTTGCTGTTTCTAACAGCCCTGGTATAAGCAAGGGCAGAAACAACACAGGTGAGAAATGTTCTCTGGGAAATCTCATGCTGGCTGCTGTGTCTTTCCACAGAATCTGTCACTGCGAAGGGGATGAAGAGAGCCCCCTCATCACACCCTGTCGCTGCACTGGGACACTGCGCTTTGTCCACCAGTCCTGCCTCCACCAGTGGATAAAGAGCTCAGATACACGTTGCTGTGAGCTCTGCAAGTATGACTTCATAATGGAGACCAAGCTCAAACCCCTCCGGAAGGTACAGTATCAATAGGAATTGGTTTGGGAGGGACCATTTGCAAAGCAGACTTGTTTTAGAAAGCTATTCCCTTTGCCAGTAAGAGTCTTCTAATATGCTAATATGCATTAAGGGTACGTGTCTTGTGTTGAGCTCATTGCACAAAATTCATCCAAGGGTTTGCAGATAATCCTTCCTTTCTTCTATGTTTTATATTCTAGAGCTTCTGATTGATATATTACCTTCAATGCTTTTTTAAAAGTGTGCGTACATAATAGATGTATATATGTATATGCATGCAAAATGTACTTGTAATTCGATGTAATTGAATTGATGAGAACTATGATAGTATTGTGCTTACGGAAGCCAATTCCCAAGAAGGTTACGTGATACATTGCCTTAAGCAACATCAACTCATCAGATTTCTTACAAGTTATTTATTAGGTAATAGAAGAGAATGATTTCTTCTATAAAGTGTATACTATTTATGTTTGCTTTTATTTGGGAATTGGTTTAATGCCTCATGTGTAATTAGAGTAGGTAGAAATAAAAGATACTATTTTCCATATTGTGCATCAGGCTGTAAGAGAGAGGTAAGTGTATTTTGTATCTATAATGTTTGTCTTCAAATTCCTTATTTGTGTTACATTTTTCTAAAGAAAAAAGGTAAGACTGTAAGTCAGATACAAAGTTAGTGTCTCACTCAAAGCCACTGAAGAACAACTTGTAAACAATACAAACAAGGACGATGAACTTTATATAATTCATGTTTGATAGCTGGACTTCTGGATTTTAGCTTGTAACTTATTTATCTTCTTGCCTAACTGTAGCGTTACATATATGGCTGCCTCAGTTTCCAAGGGAGAATATTAAGACCACAGTTTAAATAATGAATCATCCTAGAGCTGCTTTTTTTATTTAAATTGAATGCAAAGCAAAAGTTATAGGACATTGCCTGGAAAGAAACACAATGGGTTCCAGAATGAGCAGAGTTGAAATGCAAACAAGAATATTCTAGTACATACCTGATTGCTGGCTAACCATTGCAATTCTTCATTAATTCTGTAAATTGTATATAGAGAGAATCACATTCCTTGCTTTTGTGGTAGCCTCAGTTTTTAAAATCTACAAATGGTTTATAGCCATCGAAAATAACGCATAGAATTCATTTAGGATATGCATGGTCTTTTCTTAATAATGGAGTGGCCTGAGTGCTGCAGGGTAACACTGTTTTTCTAGGGCCCAGAGGTGTCAATGCCAGAAATAGAAATGGACCTTGATTCCTTGCCCTTTGCTTCGTCCGCTGGACAGATGCTGAACACTGTCTGCGGTAGTTAAATGACACATTGTACTCCATGATTTTCTAAATGTCTTTTCTTAGTCCTCAGGGAACTACAAATTATTTCATAGAATCTATATATTTCTTCATTTTTTTCCCATCTTAAATTTACATGAAATTTTCATTTCAACTTTGTCAAATACACTCTTTTAATTTGAGGGCCACAATCTAGGATAATAACATATTCTAATTTTCTCTTCTTTACTGTATCTATCACCACTACTCATTTTTTGTTTAATTAAAAACATGATGCTGAGAAGAAACTTGAAAAGTCTTTTTATTACACTGCCAGCTTTTGTAGTATCTAGTATACCCTTTCAATATAACTTTCATCCTTTATTAATATTCCATTCCTAATAATTTACGACTCTCTCAGGAAATCTTTTTTTTTCCCTCAACAAACACACTAATAAACCAGAGAAAGGCAGCAAATATTTCTATCTTTTTAAATATTCATGATAATGGACCAGGCACAGTGGCTCACACCTGGAATCCCAGCACTTTGGGAGGCTGAGGCAGGAGTATCCCTTGAGCCCAGGAGTTTGAGACCAACCTGGGCAAAAAAAAGGTGAAATCCTGTCTCTACCAAAAAAAAAAAAAAAAATTAAAAAAAATTAACCTGGCATGGTAGCACACACCTATAGTTCCAGCTACTCAGGAGGCTGAGGAAAGAGGATCCCTTGAGCCTAGGGTTTCAAGGTTGTGGTGAGCTATGACTGCAGCACTTGCACTCAAGCCTGGGTGATGGAGCCACACCTTGTCTCAAAAAAAAAAAAAAAAAAAAAACAGTTCATGATAATGAATGTGTCACAGCAATCTAGTGGGCACCTATGTACCTACTATCTGTTGATTAATATCTTAGTTTCTTCTAAAAAAATCTTCTTTGATTAATTTGAATAATTAAATTGAATAATTTTCTTTTATTGATTATTAATATATCAATATATTAAGCATTGATGAAGGACAGCATTTCAACATTGTTTTTAATAGCACTTGTATATGTATAGTGGTGTTAGAATCTGATCCAAAGATTGCTTCCCCAGCACCCACAGATGTATTTTATTTGAGCCATGGGTTAGTTACCAACGTTTAAGCACGTAATTATTTCATGTGCAATTCCATATATGTGAATTTATTTGAAAAATCACAGTATCTGGCTTTACTGGAACCACATTCCCATATGACAACAACCAGTGGAGTCAAGCGGTGTCTAGCCCCTTTAAAAAGGGACTTGCTTTCAAATTCTTCACAGTTCTCAGCCTTCCCGCTCTTTCTGATCCTGAGACCGTGTGCCATCTCCACTCATCTGTGTACCTCTGTGGCACTTGTGTAGGGATCTGAATCTTCAACTTCTTTTCTAACACATGAGTCCTAGACATGAGGAACATGCCTTCTATTCCTCCCTCCATGATGCATAGGCTTTAAAAACCTAGAGAAAGTATTCCAACGTCTCACTTTCTCCTTTAAAAATATGAGGCACTGGCCAATACTTAAGAGGCAGTAATCATAGTGATGACCTTCTCAGTTATCAACCTGAGTCATCACATTCTGAGGTGATACAAACCATACAGATATGAGGCGTTTTAAAACTGTTCTAGTTGGGCTATTTTGATGGCACTAAGATTCATCAACAGTTTTCTTTTGGTAGTTTCTAAACAGTTACAGAGAATGCTAGGTATAGCATTTGGTTAGAATATATTTGAAGTACATCCAATTAATTGCCTTCAACTTGGTAATTCTATTACAGTTTATAACATTCTAAAGAACAACCCACATGAAACAATTAATTTAGCTAATGATGTTGAATTTCTGCCATTAGCCAATGCAGGCAGGAGATTCTGTTTAGATGAAATGACTTCTTAAAGTAGAAAGGTGCAATTCTGCATAGAAAGGTGCAAATCTTCATAGGCAAACCTTGGGGCTTAATGGTTAGTTTCTAAAGATATCAGCAAAATGTTAACTCATTAATTGCAACTCTTACTCCACCAAAATCTAGTTAGTAAATTCATCAAGGTATTTTAATGTTTCCAGAAGACAATCTTTAAAGTGAAAATAAAATCAAGTGCTTATTCAAGGAAAAGCAATCTTCATCATCTTTAAGTCAGTAGCCCAGCTACTTTTCTAACACTCAATAAAAGTCTCATTAATCTGCTAAGTTATCCAGGGTCAGAAATAATTCTGAGTGCTCAGAAAAGTCAAAATGTCACACACAAAGAAAGCATAGTGACCACTCAGTGCAACTGGAAAATGCACTCAAGATCAACTAGGAAGCATAAACTAATTTCCTATTCTGAAGCTGAAGAATTGCATGGAGTTCATATTTGAGTTACTCCTGACTGGGCGAAACCAAATGTTAAATATGAAACCAAGTTTATGAGGATAGCAAATACTACTGATAGCTTTCTATCTCCCCAAATATATTTTTTCTATTTTCTATATAGAAACTATTTGGCAAATGTACAATACAGGTTATGTAACTCCATGCATCTTTTTATCTCTTGTCTCATTTGTAGAAATAAAATAAGATAATGAATAAATTATCTTTGCTTTAGTAATGCTTATGTTGAGCCAAATACACTAACCATTTTTGTAGATCAAAAATAGTTGAAAATTGGAAAGTTCGTAGAATATAAGTTCTGTGTGAATTAACTATGTCAAATAAAAAAAGTAGTCATCTTGGTATTTCTACTTTTCCACTATAATTATTTACAGTGCTGTAGTTGACATGCCTATTTTTAAAAATGAAGAACTATCTTTAACAAACACTGTTAATTCCTTCCTTGCCTTAATTTGATGTAGCATTCATCTTTCAAAAGAGCCAAGCGCTGGTGCAAGTTACCATAGCAGGTTAACTGCCCCAAATTTGTTATTGATTATTTGATGATTATTATTAATGATGTCTTATCATTAATAACCTTAAAATTGAACAGAAAAAGGGATAAGATCAGATTCCTAGCTAGAATCTTCCTGCACCCTTTGAATGATGTTGCCTAATGACAAAAATAAATTCAAAATGCATAATTTTCTTACCATTAAGGGGAATTTGCTATTTGACTGATATGACCACCACATACTGAATTCCTTCTATGGGCCAAATATTTAGCATATATCATTTAACTAATTCAGTTTTCATTACAATCCTATTTTACGTAGGCATATCAAGACCCTTTTACAGAGGAGAAAAATAAAATATCATATCAAACTCGCTCAATATCACACAACTCAAAGCTCCCTGATTCTAAAGCATGTTCTCATTGCACTATGCTACTCTACCACCAAATAGCTGAGACATTCTCTCTTTAAACATCAAAACTTTAATTCTTACTTACATCATTCCTGGTAGAAGTCTTTTAAAACAAATCATTCTAAAAAATTTTTTTTCTGAAGTCGTCTTTCTTAAACAAGAATATTTTACCCAATGTATTTTCCTCATATCTCAAGTATATCATTGTATTCACACCAATTATTTTTCAGGTTGAAAACATTAACGACTTCTATATCTTGAAATACATATAAGGGGCCGGGCACGGTGGCTCAAGCCTGTAATCCCAGCACTTTGGGAGGCCGAGACGGACGGATCACGAGGTCAGGAGATCGAGACCATCCTGGCTAACCCGGTGAAACCCCGTCTCTACTAAAAAATACAAAAAACTAGCCAGGCGAGGTGGTGGGCGCCTGTAGT